CTAGAAGCAACATGTATGTTGGATTTATGCTTAGAAGAAGTTAAGTGTTTAAGTGACGACAACGGGGATAACACAGTAGAAATCTCATCATTGGAAATGCAAAAGACTTTCATAGAGAGAAAGAGCAAAGTATAAAGGAAAGAGCATGGGCTTTGGCTTAAGTAGACTTGGGTTGAATCACAGCTTTGTCACTTACTACTCATGTGTCTTTAGACAAATCACATACATTCTGTAAACCCCAATTTCCCCATATGCAAAATAGAGCTAATACTAGCTTACACATAGAGTTATTATAAGCACTAAATAAGCTAATGTTTACATATCTTTACCATGAGCCATCATAAAGAACTCAAATGTGATAGTAGCAACCTCATTGTGTAGCAAGCAGAGATTCAAATACAGGATGCTTAGTCCTTGGCAAGGAGTGGGAGGATGTTGGCAGGTATAAAGCAGTGACCTGATGTCAGAGAACCTGGAGTACTAGACAGGAGACAAAGACAGGGATGTGAGTGATGATGATGATAAAGATGATAATTACTATATCTCCTTCTAAAGCTCAGAATATTTATCACTGAATTAAGTCTTCGATTTCCTAGGACCAATTAAAGTATTTACTCATAATCTTAAAAGTCTGCTCAGAAAAAAATTAGGCTTCAGTTAACCTCTTGACTGAGTAAATCCTTCTTAATCTCTGAAAGAAGTCAGAATCTCTGGAATAATATTTTAGCTGGTATTATATGAACCAATGTGAAAATTACACATTCTCACACAGAACAACTTCTCTACCCCCAGTGAGCAAAATATGAAGTGTAACTACCCTCCATGCACTGAGTCTGAAGAGAAGCTCAGGGAACAGTGAGTGAGGCAGAACAGGGGACTTGGGGCACATTCTTGGAGGGCAGGGAGAGCTTCAGGAAAGTGACAAAATGGCCCTAGAAGGGTGGGAAAGAGGAACTGGAGAGCAAGAACAGTTCTTTGCTCAGGACAAGATGATAGAGAATTAGCAGTATAGAGATTAAGTTTAATTTAACACTTTACACACAGCAGATGTTCCAAATGTTGGCTGTTGAGTGAATGAATTGAAATATTTTAAATACAGGTGGTTTTGACATGAAGATCAAGAGTTAATTAAACACAACTTTCAACTTCATTTATCTTATAGAGAGGAAATATTATAAATGTAAAAGAATGACCTCAATAGTCTGAAGGACATGGACTCAAATCCTAAGAATATCACTAGTATTTTTCAAGTTTCCTCAACCATAAAATAAATTTTATAATCTACAAGAAGTTTGTTCATAAATCAGATATTTATGAAGAGCTATACCTAGGGCGCCTGAGTGGTTCAGTCGGTTAAGTGACTGCCTTTGGCTCAGGTCATGATCCCGGAGTCCCAGGATCGAGTCCCACATTGGGCTCCCTGCTTAGCGGGAAGTCTGCTTCTCTCTCTGACCCTCCCCCCCTCTTGTGCTCTCTCTCTCTCTCTAAAATAAATAAATAAAATCTTTAAAAAAAAGAGCTATATACTTAACTCATAGTAGGTGCTCAATAAATATTGGTTCTCTCTCCCCCAGTTGTTCTTTTAACGCTCTCCTTAAACATAACTTTAATTCCAGTCTTAAATGCTTAGCATGCAAAGGAATAAAAGGAAAATTCTAAGATATATCTTTTGGAGATTCAATTCTAGTGATCTCCATATTTATCTTCTATGATTATGCCACTGGATGGATTATACAGCAATGAGCAATGCATTCAGAGGAGTATTGGCAATAATTGATCAATTTATGGTGATTAGTATACTTTATAAAGATTTTAACAAGTTTATCAAAACACATGGGATATTTATATGGTATTATAAGATCCACCTATGAGGTTTTTTTGGGAAAAAAAATCACACAATGGGATCGATCTTATTCCATGAAAGGAATTCCAGAGAACTAATGTTATGGCCAACCCAAGAAACCCAGAGCATTTGGAGAATTCACCAGTCTACCTAAAAATCCTATGAAGCTGTCTCTGTTATCCTCAAACACAGATCAAAGACTCTTCTGTCATACTCAGTACCTATCTCTTAGAATCAGTACACACGAGTTCTTTTTTTTTTTTTTAAGAGTTTATTTATTCATGAGAGACAGAGAGAGAGAGAGAGAAGCAGAGGGAGAAGCAGGCTCCCAAGGAGCAGGGAGCCCGATGCGGGACTCGATCCCAGGACCCTGGGATCATGACCTGAGCCGAAGGCAGACGCTCAACCGTCTGAGCCACCCAGGTGCCCCACACATGAGGAGTTCTTAATATCTACTGGAAATACTAGTTCCTGCCTTGAGAGTAGATGGATAGCTCGTAGGTGGCACTGCAAGGAAGTAGTAGAAGTTGTTCAAAAAGAGATAGTAATAGTTAAAAAAGAAAAAAAAAAAAAAGACAAAGACTATTTGTGCCCATAGATGAAAAGTCTTACAGCAAATATTTGGAGAGCCAAGGAAAGAGGCAATTACTACAGATCCAGGAAGAATAACAGCAAGAGAGTACCTCACTCCCACAATGTAGGATACAAGGGGTTTCCTAGCTAAGGTAGAAGAGATATGGCTAAGAGTAAAACAGAGCCCCAGGATCAGAAGACTAAATGTGCTAGGGAGACAAGGGAGGTTTTCCAACACAGGAGATCAAGATGGATTCTATTACCAGGATTAAGTACAAGGTTGGGAGATGAATTTATAGTAGATACTGATAACAGAGTACGTGTCTAGATGTAGAATCTTTATTTCTACACTAAAGACCTTTAAAAAGCCCTCTCTCAAAACAGGATCCCCCTCAATGCCAGAACAAGATAGAAGCTTCTAGTACTAGCCTTAGTAAAACAGCTGGAAGGTCAAAAGGGATGGGGGGGAAGAATCTGTTCCTTCCATTTTGGGTAGTTTCTAAGTTCAGAACATCTAGAAAGTCTGGGCCAAGGAAGCTGGAATTTCTCAAAATCTGTGAGAGACTAGAGGTAACTGAAAATTTTATTTATTTATTTATTTTTAATTTTTTATTATGTTATGTTAATCACCATACATTACACCATTAGTTTTTTTTATTATTATGTTATGTTAATCACCATACATTACATCATTAGTTTTTGATGTAGTATTCCATGATTCATTGTTTGCATATAACACCCAGTGTTCCATTCAGTACGTGCCCTCTTTAATACTCCTCACCAGGCTAACCCAACCCCCCCTCCCCTCTAGAACCCTCAGTTTGTTTCTCAGAGTCCATAGTCTCTCATGGTTCGTCTCCCCCTCCAATTCCCCCCCCTTCATTTTTCCCTTCCTGCTATCTTCTTCTTTTTTCTTTTTTAACATATAATGTATTATTTGTTTCAGAGGTAAAAGATTTTTTTATTTTTATTTTTAAGTAATCTCTACACCCAACATGGGACTTGAACTTATGACCCCAAGATCAAGCGTTGCATGCTCCACTGATCAAGGCAGCCAGGGGCCCTTGAAAACTTATTTTAAAATGTGTAAAGTGTTGCTTTTGAAGAAAAGCAATCAATTATTATCTTCTCCACCCAAAGGTAACCACTGCTACAATTTTAATATGTCCTCCACAGAACTGAAATATTATGGTCTCTTTATATGGTCATTAACCAAAGGATAATATTTCCATAGTGCTTTAGAGTTTCAAAGCCCTTATCATGTTCATTATTTTTAAATTTTACTTTCTCAATATCTCTATGAATTAAATGAACAATATGATCAGGCATATTTTCAGATGTAGACATGGAAGTACAGGTGAATGACTCCATTAAGGTCTTAAAACCACTTAACATGGACAAAACCAAATGATCTAACTCTGAGTCTGGGTCAGTCTCCAGAATCTGCTAAATTATGCTCTTTGATAATCTTGTCCCTGGGCAATCTTGGATATTAACCTCATCCTACCTACTGTCCTAGCTCCTGTGCATGGCTTGTTCTTAGGAGTAGGGTCAACTCTATGTAAAATTTCAAAGTTTGTTTTCTCTGTCCTGTATCTCCCTTTACCCTGAAGGACAGCTGTACGGTGGGAAGGGCAAAACTTTGGATCCAGGCTGACTTGGCTTCCAGTCCCGGCTCTAAGACTCTACCACTTCCGCCAAAGTACTTACCAGCACCTGCATTTCATTTTCTGATTTGAAAAATGGAAGATGCAATACCTATTTTGGAGGATTTTCAGCCTTTTAAATGTGATAACTAGATCTAGTGTCTGGAACATAGTAGACGTTCAACAACTGTTGGCTTTTTTAAAAGACATTTTATCCTTTTCGAACTATTGTTACCCCATTTGATTTAGGGGAGCAATACTGGCTCCATTTTACAGACGAGCTATAAGGTTAAGATCATTTCTCAGGGCCACATATAAGGTAAGTAAAGACGGGATTAGACCTTAGGTCTCCTAACACTTGTCATAGACATTTTTGGTGGCCTATATCGCATTCTCTTAGCTGGCCCCTGATTTCAGCCATTGCTACAGTGGATGGTTCCTGCTTGCAGAAAACATCCTGATTCTGGTATTCATTGCCCCCTGTCTATCTTCTCTGCCTCAAGGTTCTCTTTAAAGCCCCCATGAGTTTCCATGCAGGAGAATCGTGGAAGTGTGGGCCAGTTAAAGCCCCCAAGGGCACTCCTCAACAAAGCAGAGATTGGCAGCCAGTGGATAAATGCCCCGGCCTCTCTTTCCCTGGACAGATAATCCAGAAATGCATTACTTGATTCACAGTTGCCCACAGGGGGAGTCATCGCAATAATACACCCTGTTTTAGCTTTTCTTCTTCTATCACACTCTCTCTTTTACCCTTAATCCTGCTTCCTGGGATGATCTCACAAATAAACTGCCTGCATTTAAGCCCTTGTCTCAGACTACCTCTTGGGAACTAATGGTTGGCGGGGGTTGGGAGGGGAAGGGAGGTGTTTTATTTTCATTTGTTTGTTTGTTTTGTTTTTGTTTGTGTTTGCACTGCATTTCTCTTTATTTCTCCATAGGTCACCAAGATGCTGGCAGTGGTTGTAATTCTGTTTGCCCTTTTATGGATGCCCTACAGGACTCTTGTGGTTGTCAACTCATTTCTCTCCAGCCCTTTCCAAGAAAATTGGTTCTTGCTCTTTTGCAGAATTTGCATTTATCTCAACAGTGCCATCAACCCGGTGATTTACAATCTCATGTCCCAGAAATTCCGTGCAGCCTTCAGCAAGCTCTGCAAATGCAAGCAGAAACCAGTGGAGAAACCCACTAACTACAGTGTGGCCCTAAATTACAGTGTCATCAAGGAGTCAGATCCCTTCAGCACAGAGCTTGATGATATCACTGTCACTGATACTTATTTATCTGCCACAAAAGTATCTTTTGATGATACCTGCTTGGCTTCTGAAATAACCTTTAGCCAAAGCTGATTCATGAATGAGAAGAAAATGGACCACAGGGTAAATGAGAATCTGTGCCGTTATCAGCCCAAGAGGAAACAGCCAATACTTGTACATGAAGACAGAGCAGATAAAGTCTTTGCCAAGGCTCTAATAAATCCTGGCCCAAGATACTTTAACCCATAAGAATGATTCATATTTTCCTTCTAGTATCACAAAAATGTTTCCCCCAAAATGGAGCAGATTTGTGAAAGAGCCAAATGATAGAGACTGAAAGTGTAGCTCTTTCCATTGAATCTGAGAAATTCACTGTATTTTCTGGGGCTGTGAAGTTTAGATAAAATCTAGACATTGATTTAACATTATTCATAATAAATGTAACTTCTCAAACTTCCCCAAATTATTGGTACAATTAGTAATTTGGTGACGTGTAATGTTTAAATGTTTGCATTTAGCATTTCATTTTAACACAGTATAGTGCTATTTCATGAATATCTGAAACTACAGGGAAAAATAGAAAAAAAAATTATTTATTGAGTAAAAATGAGATTTCAAACAGAGTCCCTGTAAGAAAAACAAAAACAAATATCATAATCCTTATAAAATTCTGAGATGGTTTTCTTTAATTCCAGTGTGTTTGGCACACAGTGTTACATCAGTTTCAGGTGTACAACCCGGTGATCTGACAGCAGCATGCATTATGCTGGGCTCACCGCACGCAGAGCTGCCATCTGTCACCGTGCAATGCTATTACCCTAGCAGGGACTATATTCTCTCGGCGGCACCTTTCATCCCCTGAGATAATTTTTATGTCTTATAAAGTAGATGTCATCATTCAACTCTAATGTAAAATAAACCTTAAAATAGCCAGAATTACAAGTTCAGAAGACATGTAGATGTGATTTTTAGATGAACCCAGCTCTTAACCAACTCTTTGAGCCTCCAAAACGATGGGTGAGACAAGAGAAAGAGCAGCTTAAATAACTATGAAGATACAAACTAACAATGTAAGTAATTATTGAAAAGTGGAGCCAAGACCCAGTATTTAAGAGAAGGCTTTACTTTTTCTCTAAAATTTTTAAGGAAGAAAATCCTTTTTGAGCATTCTTGTGTAAAAACTACTGAGCCATGTCAAGTGAATCCTTCAAGTGAATCTAGCTTTAAAAGTCTGAAACATTCTCAAAAGCTTAGTTGCTATTCTAAGTCAGCCAAAGTCTATTACACTTCCAAATGAAGACTCCCCACGGAGCATTGTAGTCTATGGATTTTTAACTTGTCTGCAATTGCCTTTTCTTCCTGCCTGCTTGTCATTTGTAGGTTTCCATTTTTTGTTTTTTGTTTTTAATACTAGTGATAGTTTGTTTACAGATTCTAAGTCAAAGCAAAGCAAAATTCTGTTGGCTTTACTTTTAAGAGAGCTAAAACTGATTTCATCTCATCATTAATATTTTTATTATGTATGACTTATACCTGCTATTCTATTGCAGTGATTATAAGAAGGGTGTGAATGTGAATTTGCCCAAGACATAGGGTCAAGGTCCAATTTAATCCCTTCCAGATGGCTCACCTACTGGGATTTGGCCAATCCAGTATCTCCAAGTGTATTTCCTTGGTGATGGTTCAATAATAGCTCATTTTTAATGGTGAAGTCAGAAAGTACTGGGTACTGGCATTTGCCCTTTCCAGCCTATATTCCTATTTCATGGATTTTTTGTAAACCTAATCACTAATGACAATTACCCCTCCCCACCTTCTTTATGAAGAATACATCATTTCTATTTTGGAAACTTCAGTTTTAAAATTCTGCTATGTGGAGACTCTGCCATCCAGAATATCAGACCAGAATATGCTTTTGAGAAAACTGGCCTCATCTATTCCAGGAAGACATTCTTATCCTGTCACTGTATCAGTCAACAAATGCAAGCAAATGTTTATGGGAAATACACTAAAAGTCTATCTGCATGACACCAAGAAATCTATTTTAACTAACTTTTCATCTTGGATTAAATATTAATATTGGAATTATATGGATGGAAGCACCAGCGTGACCCCACCCCAAATCACAGGCACGTGTGCATCTGCATACAAACATACACACACCCGTGCCTAAGTTGTTTAACAGAGGGCGTTGGAATATATTCGCTTTTTTGTTAGGGAAAGGGGCTGATATCATAACAAGCTATGTCTCAGGCTTGCTGGTAGGTACTTAAACCACGTTATCTTCACCACAGTCTCACTACAGCTGTGATTTCTCTGATAATAAAACCAGGGATCAGGGATCAGGGATCAATGCAGCTTCTCTAAATTATGTAGTACCGAAGAGAGAAAATTTGTCTTTCTTTTTTGTTCTGATGACAACTTGTGACCCGATGGGCTAAATAACTAAAAAACATAAATATTTTGCTGAGTGTAATATTAGATGTTGAAAAAAATTATAATTAGTTTTACATGTTATACACAGAACACAATGTACTCTTCTCACCATTGGAAATTTAATTTAGGGGCTCAGTTTTTCCATTTCCACTTTTAAAGAATTATTTGCTAATAACCTGTTAGTTTTAGACCGCATGGAAAATTCAAGAGAACATAGTTCATAGTGTTTCAACTCTAAAGCAAATGCCGCTATGAAATTAAATGTTCCCATGCAATGTCCAATAGGTAGTTGGGTTTACACAGAAGAGATAGGACTTTCTAAAGTATTCTTTATCACAGTGTACTAAATCATCAAAAAGTATTTCCTTAAATCATCAAAACTTAATACACCATCAAATGAAAAATAAAGAACTTGAAAAACATTGCTGATGGAGTAGAGCACTATTATTAAGGGCCTCCCTTAATAAAATCCCTTGGGTTGCTTTATTACTTCCAATTTCATTAATTGCTGAATGTCTTTGGTTAGATCTTGCACCTAAGGTAATTAGGTAAAGGTCACAGGTCACAAATAAAACAAGCAAATGTAAATTACCTCTTAAGACTTCTTCCATCAGTATTGTGAGTGTATTTCTAGAGCTTCACTCCAACACAAATATGCTGAAAAGAAATGAGAAAAGTCCAAACCATGTTCATTCTTAAACAAGCTAAGTGGACAGAAAAATACACTTTGAAAATATTTCAAAACAAATGGCTGGTTTGAGCTAAACAACTAGTAAAGTAAAAGGAAAACTTTAACCATAAGGTTTAGTATAATTGAATCTTAAACTTGAATTGTCTCATTTTCAGAAGAATGTGTTGGAATACTAAGGACAGTATGTCTTAGTAAAGGTGGGTCCATACAATTTTGGTCTGCTCTTAAAGATTAAAAGAGTTACATCATTCTAAACTATGTTAAATCTGTAAACTTGATAGAAGAGAGACAATATTAACTTTTGGAGGAAAAGCAGATTTTAGATAGTCTACCCATGATTCTGTGAATTCTATCAATACTATATTTAACATTATTTTTGCCTCTCAACTACAACTCACAAAGGGGTTGGAATATTCGTACATAGAGTAAGGAAACCAGGTGTGAAAGAGCATCCAGAAACAACTGGTCAGTCCCAGGTTCAAAGAAAACTTTTTCAAATGTTTGGAATCACTCATTTCTCTTGGAAGAAGCAGAGGATAAAAAGCTCTAGCCATTTGTTGTTTGTTTATCTTTAGTTGTCTGCAGTAAATAGCCATCAAAACCAAGATTTGGCTGAGGGAATGTAAGTGTTCAGAATAATACTCATGAAGAAGCCTTACAGAGCTCTATAATAACAAATACATTTTTCTCTCCTCCCTCCTCCCTTCCCCCACTCCTCCTCCCAATCAAACTCTTATCTCTCCTAAAACATGGTTTTCCTTAGAGCAGGCAATTTCATCCGACTTCATTCAAGACTAAACCTGGACATGAACTATCTTAAGGAAAAGTGCAAATATTCTTTCAAATATATTTATATGTAAGAGAATATTTTCTTGTTCTGAATACTTTCATGTTTTCATAAAATCATGTTCCAAGTATGGGAAAACGGATGCTTCTGACATTTCAATTTAACTTAAGTCCCCATTTTCATGGTGGGGCTCGGGTGTAGAATTGAGCAGCTCGATGTGGCTTCTTCCTCACAGAACCAAGCGGAGGTTTTGCATCTCAGACCTTCAGTGAGAAGCCAATGGAAGAACACTTCACATGTGAAAAACCACTGCAGAAATGTGTTTAAGGGAACCAAAGGCTCTTCCCATTCTTAAGGATCTCATAGTCCAATGAGGAAAAACAAAAACCAACATGATACCATTTCAAGATATAACAGTTGGCAATATTTAGAATACAAGTAGAGGTGTCAGAAATGTTTTAAAGAAGCAATTGTTAAGATAATTTATGCATTGTGATTCTTTTTTATGAACTATAATTAGAAATATCAATTAATTTAATTGTTAATTTCATTGATTACACACGGGAAAAAAGGTCAGATAAGGCCCTGTAATATTTTTGTTTATATGTTCCGTCTGTAAGTATAATCTCAAATCACTTAGCAGAAAATCTCATTTACAAATTTGCACACTAGGGAATAGTTAGCACCAAATGGGCTATCCTGAATAAATCTTGGTGGTTCTAATTTTGATATTCAAATAATCTCTCTTGAAAAGAGTTGCCATGAATGTTTGTATACAATGTTGTTAGGCCTGTTTACATTCTTCTACACCAAACATTCATGGAAAATCCAACCTGAGGTGATTGATTTATGCTGTAGAGATCCGGTCTGGAAAATTAAAGGGGCTCAGTGAAATGGTACAGCTGGGACAGCACATTGTTGGAACTGTCAAATCTGGATTCAGCAAGAAAACAAAAGACAATTTTGTGGCCAGTAAAAAGCAAATTCGCGTAATGTTCACCTGTGTGTCCTCATGGAGGGGCATTTGGGTCAAGTCCATACTGCAGGCTCTCCACTAGAATAATGGAAATGAAAGCACTTTGAAAATTATAAAAGAAGGATGGGGTAAGCAGTGGAGTTGGCTAGAGTTCCTGCAGTTTATTTGAGCCCCGAAGCAATACTCTTAAGTGATTATTTTGTTCCTCTTGGAATAATGGACTTAACTTTTGTGCATGTGACTGTTCTTTGACTTGCAACAAAGAGAAAGTGTGAACTTTCTCAAGAATGTTATGGACTGTTACTGATAAAGATGGAAACTTTCCAATAAAGAAAAAGAGATACAACATGGTATCAGAATAAGAATCCACCTAACCAGAGGTCTGAATTCAGAAGTCAATAAGAATATTCTCCAGATTCCTGGAATGGCATTAGAT